AAACAGGCAGCACCAGTGACTCATGCCAGACATTTTCCTCAGTCTATTTCCTCATCAGGGTTACCTTCTCACGAAGCTATGTTGACCCCTTTGTATTTTTTTTTTCCATTCCTAGGGCTTGAACTCCTCAGGGCCTGAAAACTGTCCCTGAACTTGCTCAAGGCTAGCACTGTACCACATAAGCAACAGCACCACTTTTGGCCTTTTCTGTATATGTGGTACTCAGGAATGGAACCCAAGACTTCATGCATGCTACGCAAGCACTCTACCTCTAAGCCACATTCCCAGCCCGGCCCCTTTGTATTAAAATGGCAGCTCCACTGGACACTGGATGGTTCATACCTGTGATCCTAGCTACTCAGGAGGCTGAGATCTGAGGATCCCAGTTCAAAGCCAGCCTGGGCAGGAAAGTCTGTGAGACTCAGCTCCAAAGCCAGAAGTGGCACTGTGGCTCAAGTGGTAGAGTGCTAGCCTTGAGCAAAAAAGTTTAGGAACAGCACTCAGACCGTAAGTTCAAGCCCCAATGCACACATGTGCATGCAAACACACACACACACACACAATTTGCTGTATAGCTGTCTCCATCCTTGAAAATGAAGCGGCATTTTGGGGCAAACAATTTCCCAGTAATAATCAGCTCTAGGTCTTTGGCACCTGGGTGGTTAAGTTGGCTGCAGGCCAGGTATTCAGGAGGACAGGTGCGTCCGCTAGGAAGGAATCAGGTCAGGTTGGGAAAAGTGGACCTCACTGTTTAGTCCAGGAACCCCAGTGGGCCTACGTGTGTGCTCCAGCCTCTCTTCACACCCCTCACCCCCAGGTTCTTGGCCAACACCTCCTTCCAGGGCCGTACGGGGCCCGTGTGGGTGACAAGTTCATCCCAAGTGCATATAACCCGAAGCTTCAAGGTGTGGAGCCTGCGCAGAGACCCGCGGGGTGACCCAGCCTGGGCTACGGTGGGCAGCTGGCGGGATGGGCAGCTGATCTTGGAACCAGGCACTGCCGGTGTCTGCCCCCTATCCCCACCCGGGGCCCAGACTCGGCCAAAACTTCGTGTGGTGACACTAGTGGAACATCCCTTTGTGTTCGTGCGCGAGCCGGATGAGGACGGGCAGTGCCCAGCGGGACAGCTGTGCCTGGACCCTAGCACCAATGACTCAGCCACACTAGACGCACTGTTTGCTGCACTGGCCAATGGCTCTGTGCCCTGGGCCCTGCGTAAATGTTGCTATGGTTACTGCATTGACCTGCTGGAGCGTCTGGCTGAGGACACGCCCTTTGACTTTGAGCTGTACATTGTGGGCGATGGCAAGTACGGGGCCCTGCGTGATGGCCGCTGGACCGGCCTGGTGGGTGATCTGCTGGCTGGCAGGGCCCACATGGCGGTCACTAGCTTCAGCATCAACTCAGCCCGTTCTCAGGTGGTGGACTTCACCAGCCCCTTCTTCTCTACCAGCCTGGGCATCATGGTGCGCACGCGCGACACCGCCTCACCCATTGGGGCCTTCATGTGGCCTCTGCACTGGTCTATGTGGGTGGGCGTCTTCGCCGCCCTGCACCTGACCGCGCTTTTCCTCACCCTGTACGAGTGGCGCAGTCCCTATGGCCTCACGCCACGTGGCCGTAACCGGGACACTGTGTTTTCTTACTCCTCGGCTCTCAACCTCTGCTATGCCATCCTTTTCGGGCGTACAGTCTCCAGCAAGACGCCCAAATGTCCTACTGGGCGCTTCCTCATGAACCTCTGGGCCATCTTCTGCCTGCTGGTCCTGTCGAGCTACACAGCCAATCTGGCGGCTGTCATGGTGGGGGACAAGACCTTTGAGGAGCTGTCAGGAATCCATGACCCCAAGGTAGGTGGTCAGCATGGGATTGAGGATGCCCAGAGTTGAGCTGTACCAAAGTGTGGTCAGGGAATGGCGAACACAGGGCATAGCCATCCACCAACAGCAGCAGCAGCCAGAAAGGGAAGTATGGCTCAAGTGGTAGAGTGCCATCTTTGAAAAAGTCAAGCTAGAGAGTGAGGCCTCAAGTTGAAGCCCCAATACTAGTAGAAAGAACAAAAGAGAAAGAAAGGCCAGGTGCTGGTGGCTCACGCCTGTAATCGTAGCTACTCAGGAGGCTGAGATCTGAGGATCGAGGTTCAAGACCAGCTCAGGCAGGAAAGTCCATTAGACTCTGATCTCCAATTAACCACTAGAAAACTGGAAGTGGCGCTATGGCTGAAGCGGTAGGGCACTCGCCTTGAGCTGAAGAGGGCAGGGACAGCGCCCAAGCCCAGAGTTCAAGCCCCAGGACTGACAAAAAAAGGAAGGAAGGAAAGAAGGAAGATTGGAAGCCTGGCACTGATGGTTCACACCTGTAATCCTAGCTACTCAGAGGCTGAGATCTGAAGATCAAGCGTTGAAGCCGGCCCTGGCTCTAATTAACCACATATAAAAAAGCTGAAAGTGGGGCCCTGGCTCAATTGGTACAACACTAGCCTTGAGTAAAAGAGCTTAGGGACAGCACTCAGTACTAGGGCTTGAAAAGAAAAAAAGCAGGATTGGGGAAGAGTGGGCTGGTCCAGGGTTAGATCCTGGGTGCAAAATGGGAGGATCGGGGGTGGGGTGGGTGGGAGGTTGGAGGGAGGGTGATTGGAAGGATGGGGGGGAGGGGGAGGTTGGAGGGAGGGTGATTGGAAGGATGGGGGGAGGGGGAGGTTGGAGGGAGGGTGATTGGAAGGATGGGGGGGGAGGTTGGAGGGAGAGTGATTGGAAGGATGGGGGGGAAGGGGGAGGTTGGAGGGAGAGTGATTGCGTGGATGCTGAAGAGCAGGCCTGGCCCTGGTGAGTTTGGGCAGGTCTACAGTAGGCGGTTTGTTCCTGGTATACAGGTGGACTGGCTGTGGGGGTGGGGTGGGGTAGAATGGGAATCTGAGGGGCGGGTGAATGTGAAGGGGACAGAAGAGAGTGGTGTGGGGTTTGGGGGTCCCTTAGGACCCCAAGAGAAGCCACTGAGGAGGCAAGTTGAAGGTGACATTTCCTCCCCATGTAGATGGATGCGCAGGCTTTGTAAACCGAAGGTCTCAACCAAGTGACCTTGCCCCCAGGGACCCCTGGGCAGGGCCAGGGTCTTGATGGGCACCTGGGCTGGGGAGGGGTTCCCAGGATGGTGGGCACTGCTGATCTCCGCCCACTCCCCACAGCTGCACCACCCGTCCCAGGGCTTCCGCTTCGGGACGGTGTGGGAGAGCAGTGCGGAGGCCTACATCAAGGCGAGCTTCCCGGAGATGTACGCACACATGCGGCGCCACAGTGCACCCACCACGCCCGATGGCGTGGCCATGCTCACGTGAGACCCGGCCCGGGGGCAGGGTGTGGGAGGTCGAGCTGCCGATCCTACCCCACTGACCCTGCCTCCCCCCAGGAGCGACCCCCCCAAACTCAATGCCTTCATCATGGACAAGTCACTGCTGGACTACGAGGTGTCCATCGACGCGGACTGTAAATTGCTGACAGTGGGCAAGCCTTTCGCCATTGAGGGTGAGGGGGGCCGAATGGTGGGGAGCCAGGGGGCTTGTGGGGGCAGGGCTGAGGTGCCCCATGTGGGGGTACAGCTCTCCTGGGGTTGTGTTCCACCTGCCTGGGTTCCCCAGGCTACGGCATTGGACTGCCCCAGAACTCACCCCTTACTTCCAACCTGTCTGAGTTCATCAGCCGCTACAAATCTTCTGGCTTCATCGACCTGCTCCACGACAAGTGGTACAAGATGGTGCCTTGTGGAAAGCGGGCCTTCGCCGTGACCGAGGTGAGGAAGGGCTTCAGGCACAGAGGTGGAGGGTAGGCCTAGGGGCCCCGGAGGCTGCCTGAGGTGCCAGACCCCCCGATCATTCTTGCGCACTTGTTTTTGTCCTACAAAACCCCAGCTCCCACGTCCCCATTTCATCCTGGCTCCACAGGCCCCAGCCCTCCTCTGGTCCGGACCCCACCCTCTCCATGCAGGGGTCTTTGTCATGTGATCATGTGGGATTCCCTGCTTGTGTTCTATTCCAGACCCTCCAAATGGGCATCTACCACTTCTCGGGGCTCTTCGTGCTGCTCTGCCTGGGCCTGGGCAGTGCCCTGCTTAGCTCTTTGGGTGAGCATGTCTTCTACCGCCTGGCACTGCCCCGCATCCGCCGTGGCAACAGGCTGCAGTACTGGCTGCACACCAGCCAGGTGAGGTGGGCTGTGGGCTGCACAGGGGCAGGGCGGGCTGCAGGCCTGCCAGGAGCGGTGGGCCCCTAGCCCAGCACACCACTAATGGGGACTGTGTGGGTCTCAGAAAATCCACCGGGCGCTCAACACTGGGCCACCAGAGGGGCCACAGGAAAGGCTGGAGCCAGAGCCCAGGTAAGGACGGGCCACCTGTGGGAGGGACCAACAACCCTTGGTGGGGTCCCGGCTCCAGGCCTCCCTGCAGGCCACTGTGGCCAAGGTGGACGTGGCCGGTGGGGTGTTGCTTAGCCCCATTCCTGTCCCTAGTGGAGCCGAGGAGCCGCGGCTGGACCCCGAGGGCCCCGGGCGCTGGAAACGTGTGCGCAGGGCTGTGAGCAAAGAGCGCCGAGTGCGCTTCCTGCTGGAGCCAGGGGCGGCTGCGGCCCAGGACTCGGAGGCGGGTGAAGCTGACGCCAGGAACGCAGAGGCCTGTGTGGAGCCCCTGCCACCAGGGGGCCCCGTGTGGCTGTGCTCCAACGGGAGGCCGGCGGCCCCGCGCTCGGCCGAGCTGGAGGCGCTGGCGCGGCACATCGAGGAGGTGAAGGAGCGCCTCCGCCAAGCCCTGCTGAGGCGCGGGGAGCTGCGGGCCCAGCTCGGGAGCGGCAGCGGCGCGCGCCACCGGCCCCTGCGCTTGCTGCAGGCAACAGGCAGCCCGGATGACGACGACGAGGACCAGCAGTGACGGAGCCACATCTGCCACCCACCTGCCAGCTGTCCAGGCAGGGTGGGCTGGGAGGGCCGGGTCCCCCGAACATGCAGACCGCACCCTGTCCACAGACAGTTTATTCTATATACAAACAACTTCGTACACCGCAATTAAATAGAATGGAATGAGCAGCCTGACCCGGCCCACTCCCATGCGAGCAGGGCTGGACCCTGGCCACTGCTCTTGGCACCTGTGTCCCTGTGCCTGAGCCGCAGCTCTTCTCTCTTGGGGACCCCAGGCTGGTCGCTCTCGTGGACAGGGGTGGCCGTGGAGAAGGCACTGCGCAGGGAGCACCAGGCAGGGCTGGACAGCACAAAGGTGTGCGAGGCCCCGTCCCGCCCTGCCTGCTCCTCCGCGTGGTAGCCTTGCCCACCTTGACCTACTGCTGCCCTGGACTGCACATGGGCCAGTACACTCAGATCTTCCAGAACCTTCCAAGTCTCCACTCCATCCCCTTCACAGACCACCACAAACCCAGCTGACTAGCAGGTCAAGCCCTGGTGGGCTCCACATCTGATCTGGCAAGACAGGCCCCACCTCTCACAAACTGGATGAACCCCCCACCATCCTGAGCAGACAGGTGGTCCGGAAGAAGGAGGTAGAGGACACTGGTGCCCCCCAGGGATGGCTTCCTCCGCCCCACCAGCTGCAGAAGCAGGGACAGGTGGCTCAGGGGCTTCTCAGGACCCGACCTGGGAGGGTGCATCTGTTGAGCCTGGGGTGGCAGGGCTGGGTCCACTCCCCGAAGCCTCCGTTGGGGCTGCATCAGATGCCAATGAGTCACTCTGAGGAGCACTGTCCTGGGAGGTGTGGGGTGGGCTCCCACTGGGGCTCAGGGATCTCGCAGGCCGTCGCTCCAATAGTGAGGCACTCAGGCCAGACAGGAATGAGGCATCAGAGATGATGGCAGCTGTCTCGGCCATCCAGCCCAGGTCACTTCCAGTGGCTGCTGCCACAGATGCTGCCACAGCCCCCAGGGAGCTGGGTGCTGCAGCTCCAGGCCCAGGCCCTCCGCCGACTCCAGTGGAGCCCGGGCCCAGGGCGAGTGGCTGGCCTGCAGGGTCAGGGGTGGTGGCTTGGGTGCCAGAGTTGTTGTTCAGGTCGTCGGGCAGCGCCGTGGGCGTCCCAGCACCCAGCTGTGGGCTCTGTAGCAGCATCTCCTGGATGCGGATCTGCTGCAGGATGGCTGGCAGCTCGTAGTGGTGGAAGAAGTAGATCATGGAATGCTGTGGGTGAAGAGGCGGGTCAGAGCCCAGGAAGGCCCCAGACCAGGAGAGGGGGACACCATACCAGAGATGAGGAGAGGTCCCACCCGCTGTCCACGCTGCCCTGCGGGGTGGGGCTGGCTTACAGGAGGCAGTGCCCCCAGCAGCAGCAGTGTGCCAGGGGGGCAGCAAGGCCCAGAGCAAGGACCCACACTGCCCTGGGGACCTGGCCACCTCACCAGCCTGTCTCCCCTGTGTACCTACCACCAGACCCTCCTACCCACCCAGGCCTCACCTGGATGAACAGCCAGGATGTGACCAGGGCCAGGCTACTGTACTGCCCATTGAAGCGGTAGTGGTAGGCGTAGAAAGCGAAGTGGTACAGGTAGAAGAACCTGTGCAGGGCAGGGCCATGAGCACTGGCAGACTCACCTGCCTGGACCCACACTGCCCCTCGTCCCCAGCCCTCCAACCGCCCCGCCCCGCCCCGCCCAGCTCACCGCAACCAGTGCCGCTTGCTGGTGTTGGTGTGGCAGCAGATGGCATCGTACTGGTCAGCCAGCCACACGATGAGGATGATGTAGAAGGCTGTGGTGGTGTCGTTGAAGAACTCAGACATGATGGCCTCCATCCCTGTGGGGACAGGCAGTACGGTTGGAGCAGGCGGGGTGGGGTGAGGGTGGGGGGTGCTGGGCAGAGTCCTCACCGACGAGGGCCAGGATGACAGTCAGCAGAGGTGCTGCGGGAAAGGCGATGGCCATGTTCATCTCCAGCATCTGCAGCAGGTCCACTGCGGGCACAGGGCGCGGGGGCCACTCGTGAGGGCCTGGGGGCGAGCCCGCCCCGCCCCCCGCGGCTGGCCGGGACTCACCGATGAAGACGAAGATCTGGTGGTGGGAGTAGCGGAGCAGCATGGACACGCTGAGTGTCTGCAAGGGAGGAGCAGGGGTGAGGGGCTGCAGGGAGTTGACATCCCAGAGCCCCGCCCCTACCAAGGCCCCACCCCCAGCTCCTCCCCAGGACCCCACCGGCCCCTCACACTCACGAAGATGACCATGATCACGAAGGCAGCCAGGTAGGATGTGCGGGCCATCCACATGCTGACAAAGCGGTAGTGCTCACCAGACACCACGTTCCGCAGGAAGCCTGTGGGGAAGGCAGTGAGAACGGCCTAGACCCACACCTTTCCCTACCTGCCTGGGCCGGACCCACCTCCCCAGCCTGCACCCTACCCTTGTTCTCCTCATTCTCAGCCAGGCCCTTCACGCTGGACATGAGGATGTCATCATAGCCCAGGAACTCATCCAGCAGCAGGCGGCTGAACCGGTCCCCAAAGCACTGGTCTCGAGTAGGATCTGTGGGAGGGCGCAGTCAGGGCTGGCAGAGCAGGGGAAAAGGTGCCCCGGGAGGTGTCCTGTGGCTGGGCGGGGTCCTTGGGCCCCGGTCCCACCCCATGGCAGCATGACACCCTGTGGCACGGGGTTGGACTCACCCAGCGTGACGACCATGACGGGGATACTCAGGCGCTGGCGCGTGGCCTGTGACAGCCGCAGAAAGCCATATTCCAGCGAGTACTCCACGATGTACTCATCCTGGGGCCACACTGTAGGGACAAGGCCGGTGAGCCCTGGCTCGTGCGCCCCACCCCCACCCCACCCCCACCGGCCCACAGCTCTGAGTATACCTTTGGCAGGTGTCTCAGGGAAGGGAAATTCCTGGCTGTCATTCAAGGCCTCAGCTCCACCTGGTGGCTTGAACACCTTGGGCTCAATGTCCAGCTCAAACTGTGGGCAACCAGGAACCAAGGCATCAGTGTGGTCATCTGGGACCTGAGGACCAACTCTTCCAGGTGCAGCCCCTGGAATCCTTCCCCTCCCTCCCCCCCAGACTGGGACCACTATCACAAACAAGGCTCAAACTTCCTGTACTTCTGTCAAGGCCCAGAACTCTACCCCAGTCCCAAGCCTACCCCGTATGTGGTTCCAGGAAAGGGTTTGAACCCTGAAGCTGGGGACTCAAGCAGAGTTTGGGCAGAGGCCTCAGGTCCCAGGGCCAAGTGTCAGATGCTCCCCCTAACACCTCCCCCCGCCATAGCTGGAGCATGAGTGTCTCTCCATCATGGATGGAGGCTGAGATGCCCCCACCCCCACCATAGGGATGACAGATGCTCATCCCTCTACCACGTGCCACCTCAGGTGGGTGCAGATTTCTTGGCTCAGCCCTTGTCTTCTCCTCTGCCACTTCTGCCTTCCACCACCCCAGAACCAGGCCCATCTCCACCTAACAGCAGGGAACCCCTCACTGAAGGCCATCAAGGCCAAGCAGACAGCGTGCTGCCAAGCCCTTTGAAGGGTGGCCCCCTCTCCTGGCATGGGTCTCCTTCACTCAGTTTTACACCCGCTGCTCAGAGCTCACCTTAACAGAGCTGTTCCCAAACATCTCCATGGTCAGCTCCTCCTCCTCCTCCTCCAGCTCCAGGCCTCCTGGCTCCACAGCCAGGCCCGAGAAGCTCTGGCGGCCGCCATCACAGAACTGCAGGAAGACGGGTGCGCGGCTCGAGTTGTGCCGCACCTCCACGCGAAGGATGCCCTCCCGGGGCCACCTGTCACGCACATGCTCCAGGCAGTTGATGGGTGAGCGGGAGAAGACGATGTGGATGTAGGCCAGCACGAAGAGCACAAACAGGGCCTGAGGAGAACAGCAGTGAGTGGACCTGCTTGGCAGGCGACAGGAGAAGGGAGTCCCCGGCAACTCAAGTCCTGGTTGGGCCTACAGCCCATGAAAGGCTCATGGGTCTTGGGTTTCTCTCTGTCTCTCTCTCTCTCTTTTTTTTTGGTGTGTGCAAGTACTGGAGCTTGAACTCAGGGTCTGGGTTGGCACTCTACTACTTGAGCCACACCTCTACTTCTGGTTTTTCCACTTCTGGTTAATTGGAGATAAGAATCTCACCAACTTTCCAGCCTGAGCTTAGCTTTAATTCTTGGCCCTCTGATCTATGATTTGATCTCAGATCTTTTGAATAACTAGGATTGTAAGAGTGAGCCCCCTGGTTAAAGGCCTTAGGCTCTGAATACTGGTGACTGGCCATGATTTCTTAGGGAGAAGACAGGCTCTCTGTCGGGTCTTGTGGGTGAGACTCCACCCAAGATGTGGGGCTGGGCTCAGGCCACCAGTTCTGCGTCCACCAGGCTGCCTGCCAGGCCTGCCACCCAGGTGAGGCCAGCTGGGCTCTGGACTACACATATACCACAGTTTGCCTCTGTCCTCAGAGCCCCTGATCTCACCAGCTAAGAATAGCCTTTCCTGGCTAGGCAGCCTCTGCACCCCTGCCAGGCCTGACACAGGCCAAGGACACAGCTGACCCTTGTGGGCAGGACCCAGGCACTCAGGACAGGCCCAAGAAGCTTCCTCATCTATGCAGTGGAACAGCAGCCACCTTCAGCCTCAGGGGCCCTGGTGGTATTTGGGGACATGCAGGGCTGTCACGACTGCTCTGGCATGGAACAGGTGGAGGACCCTAGGGGAAAGGGGGCTCCAGGGAGCTGTGTGATACTCTGCTAAGAGCTGGATGTTTTACCAGTTGTGCCAGCACAGTCTCCCATGCCATATACATGCGTGCCAAATGCACTTCCAGAGTTCCCAGACTCCCCAGGGAAGAGGTGTCTGGACTCTAAAACTATAGCCAGAGAGGCCCACCCAGACCAGAGATGCTAGAGCACAAAACCTTTCTGCTGACAGAGGCCCGGTATTCAGGGAAGAATGAGCTGCTGGTGGCCACAGAGTCATGAGCACAACTGCCAGAACTCTACCCCTTCCATGCCCACAGGCAGCCAGACCCCCCCCCCCCCCCCGCCTCCGGAGTATTCTGGCCAGACCCAATGGCTATAACCTCAAGTGAGCAAAGACTCAGCAAATGGCAGAAAGAGGCCATAGGTCTCAGCTCCTGCTGGCATCCTGGATCACAGCAGAAGCTGGCACAAGGCTCACAAGAGATTCAAAGCTCCTCCTCTGGGGCCAAGTGGAAGTAAAAGCTTCTGTCCCTCACAACCAAAAGCACCAAAAGCTAGGGGTCAGCACTGGACAGCAGGCCTGCACCACACAATAGTGCTGACACAGCATGTCCCAAGCCAGGGGCTGCCTGCTTCTCAGGGATACCCGGCCACCACTGCCCGAACTCACAGAGGAAGAACTGGGGCAGAGGGGTTGCAGACCTGAGGTCACAAGGGCAGCAGACCAGGCCTCCAGCTGACCGTCACCATGAACATGCCTGGGCAGACCTGAATCCGAGGTGATGCTGAGGGACCCACGTCCTGCCCCACACTGCCTCCCACAGGCCTGGCCCTGACCCCACAGTGGGGTCAGCCTCTGGATGTGTGGACTTGGTCACATAGCCTCTAGGCCCCTTAGAGCTGTGGCTCAGCTGTTACCTTGGTGTCCCCCTCCAGCTGCCCTAGCAATGGTCACACTCTCAAACCAGGTGCCCCATGCTGGTCAGGCCCAGAAGACACCCATATGGTTTCCTTCACTAACCTACCCAACAAGACCAGCTCCTGTCTGGGCCCCAGTTTCCCCACTCCAGAGCAATGAGCAGGTAACACCCAGCCAGACTCTCCCCTGGGTCCTCTGGCCAACGCTGCCCTCTGCCACTCCACATGCTTTGGTGACCCAGACCAAACCCTGTGTCCCACTGCTGTCCCCAAACTTCCAGCCAGCTTGCCCTGGGCCCGACCACCAGGACCCTGGCTCTCCGACTTTGGTGGCCACTCCCCTGCACTTCCCCATCCCATGCTCAGCCTCACTCCTGGCACCACCCTTCCCAATGCACCCTGGGTGCTGCATCCCAGAGCACAGGGAGACAAGGACGAGGCACTAGCAGACACGAGGCTGCAGGAGCTGCCTGCCCCTGCCACCGCCTCCAGGAAGCCCCCTGGCCTCACTCCCTGATCCCCAGGAACCAGGTCCAAGCCCACTGGCCTATCTCTGCGAGTCTCAAGAGACCACACTTTTCTACTCCGAGAAGGTAGCCCCCCACAGCCCCAGCTAGAGTCTGCAGGAAAAACCCAGGTCTTTTCTACTCAGCACCCCGCTGCTTCCCTCCCAAGGGCACAGCACAGAGACTCCCAGGAGTGGCCATAGTGACAGTCCCCTCCTCCCCCAAGAGAGAGTAGGGGCCTGGAGTCTGTCCTCTCCTCGGTCCTCGGTATCCCCAAGAGGGGCACACTGCTTGCTATCCCGACTCACCAGAGAGCAGGGCCCTGGCCACATCCAGCACTGCTTACTGGCTGCCAGAAGACAGCACTGCAGGTTTACCAGTCTCTGTCTTACTAGTCTCTGGGCCAGGACGCAGCCACCTTTCCCAGCAGCCCGAGGCTCAGAGTGTGTGGAAACAGGGTTTGGCTACTCAGGTCCACAGAGCAGCAGCCAGGCGGCCTGGTGGGCAGGAAGCAGAGAAGAAAGAGAGCTTCCTGGAACCCAGCACAGCCTCAGAAAGCAGCTGTTCCGGCCTGGGCTTCACAAATAAAGGAAATAAAAAGCCCCAGCTGTGATGGCACACTTCCTGATGAACAAATCCTCAGTTCTACCAGCAATCCCACCACCCAGCATCTCTAAGCTAAGAGACTCAGGGAGGCTGAAAGCATCCCAAGGGCTCTACCTTCTTTGAGGCTCCTACTTGGCAGCACAGGGTGACCAATGCCAGTGGCCCAACACAAGCTGTACTGCTCTGAGTGGCACCTGCCTGGAAGACAAGAGCCAGGCCTGCAGGGATCCCCCAAAGGCCAGCCCCTTCTACATCAGGAGGCAGTGGGACCAGAGTGTGGTTCTCCACCACACCAAGCACACCTTCAGGGAGGTTTGGCATGGGCGGGTACCTCAGTGACTGAGTGGTGCTCAAAGGCACCTGAGCCCCTTCAGAGACCTAGACCACTCTGAGGAAAATCCACTCCACACACAAGCCTTTGTCCACAGGTTCAGAGCATCAGGGACCCTGACACAGGATTCCAGATTCAGTGTCACAGAACCGCCCCCTCAGCCACCATCACCTCTCAACAGGACAGGGAAGAACCAAGCTGTGCTAGGGGCTACAGAGAGGAAGAAGGCAGGCAGAACCTGCTGTTTTAGGGTGCAGCACCTGCTGAAAGGCCAGCTCCTCACACCTGGGCACTGTGCTATCTGCACATGCAGGGGGACTTCCTTAGAAGTTCTGATTGAGGCCAGGACTGGCTCCCAGCTTTGTCCACGGGCCAGGTTTCGGCTCCTTTACACCAAACCCCAAAGAGCAGCCAGCTTCCACCCAACTGCTCAGCCCACACCCTTACCTCCCCTGTCCAAGGGCATTTACCCCTTTCTGCAGGCAGGAAGAAAAAGCCAGGCACCAGAGGCTCATGGTTTGAAGCCAGCCTGGGCAGGAAGGTCCGAGAGACACTTAACTCCAATTAACCAGCAAAAAGCCAGATGTGACGGCCAGAAGTGATGGTACATCGGTGGCTCACACCTATAATCTTAGCTACTCAGGAGGCTGAGATCTGAGGATTACAGTTTGATCCCAGCCTGGACAGTAAAGTCCGTGAGTCTCTCACTTCCAATTAACCACCAAAAAAAAAAAAGCTGGAAGTGGTAGAGTGCTTGCCATGAGCAGAATAAAACTCAAGGACAGCACCCAAGCCCTGAGTGCAAGACTCAGTACTCTGGCACACACACAAAAAGAAAATGAAAGAAAAGAAGAACAAGAAAAAGGAGGAGCTTGCTCAGCAATATCAACACTGCCCCTGCTATTTCTCCATTTTCTGGGGGGAGTCAGAAACCCAGAACCCAGGTTTCTAGCTAGCTGTTTCCCAGGCCAAACTACTTCCTGGAGGCTGGCACTTGTCCTTCCTGAGGCCTCAAGGAACACAAGAAGTGGGCATGGACAGGACAGGCAGGCAGAGCCCCATAGGAGGTTTAATCAGACCCAGGCAAGGCTCAAGGCTCCCTGAGCAGCTGTGAAACTGCTGCTGCTCACCCTAGCAGGAAGCCCCTGTCCCAAGCAAGGCCCTGAGAGGCTCAGCACAGGAAGAGTTGTGGGCAGGTGGAAGGTTCCAGGAAGGGGAACACCAAAATGAGCCACTGTCAGGGCAAGAGCCAGGGCAAGAAGGCGGCTCCCAGGGCTGAAGGGAAAACCGGTATGGCGGATAGGCTGAGTACTAGGCCAGACTAGGGTGAGTGGGGGTTCAGGATCCCAGGCTGCAGAGTCAGGGGTCAAAGGGCAGGAGGAGGGCCCTGGGGAGGTCAGGGCCGCTAAAGGAGACGGGGGACCCGGGAAGGAGGAGGCCGGGACTAGGGTCGACGACGCGGTGACAGCCTGTCACTTGGCATTCTTCCTAGGCGGAGATGGGCAGGGTGGCACTCCAGCTCTAGGCGCTCGGGGTCAGAGGGTATGAGGCCTCTGGGATAGAGGATCGGGGTGGGGGGGGGGGGGTGTGATCGGGGTCCCGTCACCTTGAGCAGCACGAAGAACTCGAAGAGGCGGCGGAAGGCGGGAGGGAAGAGCCGCGAGTAGGTGACAGCCATCTTGAAGAAGAGTGCGTGGAACAGCCGGTCGCGCACGTTGATGAGGGGGTTGGGGTTCAGGTTGGGGGTGCGCGGGCCGCGCGCTGGGGCCGGACCGCCGCCGCCGCCGCCGCCGTTAGGCCCAGGCCCCGGGGCCGCGGGCGCAGCGTGTTCCGACATACTGCCCGCGTCTCCCTGGCGGCCGGCCGGGTGTCTGAGGCGCGTCCCGGCCTCTGCCGCCCTCGCCGCTGCCCACGGCCGCCGCCGCCTTCGCCTTCACCAGCGTCCGCGACGGGCCAGGGACGCCAGCGAGCACGCCAGGCCAGAAAGTCCTCGTCCAGTGGAGCACCCTGGGATACCCGTGGCCGCCCGCGGAGGTCTGGCTCGCCCTCGTTCCCGGAGTCAAGGCTCTACGAGGCAGGAGGGCGGAGCCGCGTGTGGCCCGTCTCATTTGCATAGAGATTTCCCACAAGTCTTCGCGGCATAAGCGGCTGCGCTCCAGACCTCTCCTTAGATCGATATCTGAAGATTTTTTTAAACCTAATGAGATACTCAAAGTAAAATACTAAAATAAAAGGCATTCTTTCTTGGGGGCAATTACCAAAAAAGATCCCACAGAATGGCCAGAGAGAGAGAAAGACCACCTAACTGTAAAGTGTTTCTATGTCGAGGTCTTTAAATAGAGAAATTCGCAAGCTTTGTGCTGTGTTCGCTTCGGCAACACATATACTAAAATTGGAACGATACAGAGAAGATTAGCATGGCCCCTGCGCAAGGATGACACGCAAATTCGTGAAGCGTTCCATATTTTTGCTTAAAACCTCCACCACCAGCCCAGTGTATCCCATTAGGGAAGGTCCCTGCAGCCCTGCTGGTGGACAGCCCCAGGACAGGACCCCCCGGGCCAGCACCCAGTGTGAGTGCCCTCCTGAGTGTGAGGTGCTTCTCCACGGTGCTCCAAAGTCAACGATCATTCATCCCCTGCAGAGACAGAAAGGAGGGAGGAGATCCTTGAGCCAGGAAGTACTACCCGACACTCAGACTGGGCAAACAAACATTGCAAAGTGGAAGGGAGGGCTGGGGAATGTGGCTTAGTGGTATAATGTGCTTGCTCAGCATGCCTGAGGTCCTGGGTTTGATTCTGCACAATCAGAAAGAGCAGGAAGTGGTGCTGTCGTTCAGGTGGTAGAGTGCTAAGCCTTGAGCAGAAGAGGCTCAAGGGACAGTGCCCAGGCCCTGAGTGCGAGCCCCAGGAGTGGCAAAAAGGAAAAAAAGAAAGCTGCAGGAAGTGCTGCCTCAGGGCTTGAAGTATGAGCACTTGGGAGAACAGCTGTGGCCACTGAAAGTCATTGAGGTGATAGGCTCCAAGTGGAGATCTAACTAATAGGAGCAAGCACTATTTTGTGGAAGATGCAGACACAACTTTATAGGGGTGGAGTCTGGGAAGAACAAAACAGATATCCCTATTCTTTTTTCTTTTGTCTTGCCTGGGTCCTGTCCCTCAGCTCTTCAGCTCAAGGTTAGTGCTTTATCACTTGAGCCACAGCACCACTTCTAGCTTTTTCTGCTTATGTGGTGCTCAGGAATGGAACCCAGGGCCTCATGCATTCAAGACAAGCACTCTACCACTGAGCCACTTTTCCAGCCCAGGAGGTGACTCTTGAAGCTTAAGACAAGCCTCTCAGAACTACTCAGGCTCTGCCTATATAGTAGGTGCTCAATAAATACACAGTCTTGACATTATTTTGGATCACTCCTCCTTGCCTCTCACTCTGCTGGTTGCAGAAAGGAAAAAGCTTTCTTTCCCAATGAAAAGAATGGGTATACAGCAATCTCCAAATGGTGCTTCACACATGCAATCCTAGCTACTCAGGAGACTGAGATCTGAGGAGCACAGTTCAAAGCCAGCCTAGGCAGGAAAGCCCCTGAGACTCCTACTTCCAATTAACTGCCATAAAAGCCTTAAGGCTCAGGTGGTAGAGTGCTAAATTGAGCGAAAAAGTTCAGGGACCAGCACCTTAAACCCTGAGATGAAGACTCAGGACCAGCACAAAAGAAAAAAGAAAAGAAAGAAAATGAAAGGGCTAAGGGAGGGTATGAGATCCTGAGTTCAAGCCCCAGGACTGGCACCAAAAAAAAAAAAAAAAAAAAAAGCCCACATGTTTTTGTTGCAATAAGGATTCTGGATCTATCTGGTACCATCTTGGCAACGTGGGTGGATGATAGGGAATTGCTAAAAACTGGGAGGTGGAGTACCCACCCCCAGGAGATGGGAATGCCTAAAGGCCTGCAGGCAGGGCCAGGGACTTGGATAATAGGTTACTGGGCCTGCCTGACCTGTGGCTGGAAGGAGGCAAGGTTTAGTGAAGCTTCCCTTTAAAGGTAGGGACTTTCTCAGCCAGGTGCTGGTGGCTCACGCCTGTAATCCTAGCTACTCAGGAGGCTGAGATCTGAGGATCACAGTTCATAGCCAGCCTGGGCAGGAAAGACCTTGAGACTCCTATCTCTAATAAACCACCAGAAAACCGGAAGTGGCTCTGTAGCTCAAGTGGTAGAGCGCTCACCTTGAGCTGAAGGGCTGAGGAACAGCGCCCAGGCCCAGAGTTCAAGCCCCACAACCGACCAAAAAATAAAGGTAGGAAGTCTTCACTTAGAGTGCTTGATTTGATTGCAGAGTAAAAATTTCTGGACAAGTCACTCTTGGTATTATCCCCACCTCGGGTGCTCAGCTCCACCCAGACCTGGGCTCCAATCTGTTCTAAAGTTCCCGCCATACAGCTGGCCGTATGGCCGCTCCATCTCTCCGCCTAGACCTACCTGCACACGCACCTACCTCCCTACCTGCCCCACACTTGCTTGCCGCTTAGACAGGGACAGATACCATGTGTTCCCTCTCCTGGGAGATATGGCCCCTCTAATAAACCTTATAATAATCTTTCTCCTGTGTCTGTTTGCCTCAGCGTGGTCCCCTGGGATGGTGGTGAAGGATTATTACAGTCACAATGATTAAGAAAACTTGTCAGAGCTTTATTGAGTAAGTAAACAAGCAGGCACACACAGAAGGGCAGGGACACACTTGAACGGAGGGTGGGTGTTTTCATAGACACAGTGCTCCTTGGGCTGTTGGGGTACTTGTATGGTAAAGGCAGGAGGCTGGCTTCAAAGTTATGCAAAGCCGAGTTCTTTGTCTTTGCTCTACCCACACCTGGTGTTATTTTCTGAGTATCCAGGTAATAATGCATCTTGCCATAAAGCAGTCCCTATCCTTGGGACAAGGAGGTACTTGCTATCTGCATTTTGGGGCAGGTAAGTTTTCTCTGGAAGGCATACATCCTGTCAGACAGTTGGTAAGCCTTGGGTGAGAAATGCATCCTTCAGGGAGGGGTGCATCCTGTTGTCTTTCCCTGAAGCAAAACATAGCACTTGTATATTTCTAAATGCCATATTTCTGAGTTACCTTCACCAGGCCTCAGTTCCCTTAAGTCATCCTGTTTCATTTCCCTTAAAATGAGACTTTCGTTCCTTTAATGTTTTTCTGGGGGGGATGTGGGTCTGAACTTGGCCTGGTCACTGTCCCTCAGCTCTTCACCTCAAGGCTAGTGCTCTCACTTGAGCCACTTTCGGCTTTTTTTTTTTTTTTTTTCTGCTTATGTGGTGCTGAGGAATCGAACCAGGGCCTCATGCATGCAAGGCAAGCACTTTACCATTAGCCACCTTTGCGGCCCCTTTAATCTTAAGGGAAGTACTTGAGGAATATCTCCTATATTTGCTGTAAGCAGACCATTCCTCATTTCCCCTAAAATGACTTGGTTCCTGTTAGACCAATGAGCTCCCTTCCCATAGCTTAGCACGCTCCTTCCCCTGTCCACAGCTTAGCATGCTCCTTTCCTAGGCAACACCAGGCCCACGTAGTAAAGGCAATAAATAATCAGCCTTCACCCCCCCCCCACCTTGAGATGCCACTCCTCTGGGGCAGCTACCACCATATAAGGCAACAAAAACCCCTTAGAGTGACCTTTAGGTCTAGTAGCGGCAGGAGCCCTTATTTACTACTTGGCAGCAGCATAAACCCTAATCTACCATCATGAAGCCCTGATCCTCACATCCACACCAGGGTCTCTGCCTCCAACCCCCTTTTAGCCCCTCCTAGTCTCAGTAGTTTGTATGGGTCCCCTCAGACAATATCCGGCACTTCTCACTCCCCATTTGTGAGAAGGGGTCTTGCCCGTCCCTTTACCGGGAATAAACCTTATCTTTGTTCTTTGTACCTGGATGTCTGCATGGTTTTCTAGTAAAGTCTAATATACTCTAGCAGTTCCCTTAATCTTTTTTTTTCTCCTTTTTTTGCCAGTCCTGGGGCTTGAACTCAGGGCCTGGCCCCTGACCCTGAGCTTCTTTTGCTCAAGGCTAGCACCCTACCACTTGAGCCACAGCACCACTTCCAGCTTTTTCCGTTTGTGTGGTACTGAGGAATTGAACCCAGGGCTTCATGCACGCTGGGTAAACACTCTACCATTAAGCCACCTTCCCAGCCTCCTTATTTCTCACGGCGTTCCACTTCAGCTCTCCAGGTTTGGTGAGATTGTTTTTCTGCTCTTTACTACCCTCGTGGCTCAGTTTCCTAATAGTATTAAGTGGCTGCAAGTTTTGAGGGGGACGTATGTCTGCTTGCACTTGCTGGTTTTCTAATAAAAACTCCCAATTCTTCAGTAAGGGAAAGACTAGGTCTAAGAAAGAACCTTGTTTCCCGGTGCAGGTGATGGGGGCTGTCCACCCAGCTTCCAAGGCCCAGAGGTAAGACAAGCTATACTTTGAATTGCAGGTTGTTTAGACCCAGTTAGACTGAGAGGATATATAAATGCATTGTGTTATTTAGCCTCAGGGAAATCCTACCTCACCTGTGATGAAAGGCAGGGGCGGGACTTGGATAATAAGTGACTGGACTTGCCAGTCTTGGGTTGTAAACTCTGAAGCTCCCCGTGACCCTTCCTCCTGACCTGACCCTATTTAGGTCTAGACTAGCTCAGGCGCCATTACACCATGCCACACGTCTCCATGTTGGTGTCCTGTCTCAGGTCTCCTGGCTCGCTTCTGATCACCATGGTGTCCCACTTCTGGTCTGGTTTGTTGGTATTGTTTCTCTGCTTTTTCTTTACTGTCTGGCTCTCATGGCTCAATTTTCTGATAGTGTTATTCTTTTTTTTGCTGGCCTGAACTCTGGGCCTGGGTGCTATCCCTCAGCTCTTCAGCTCAAGGTTAGCACTCTACCACTTGAGCCCCAGCACCACTTCCGGCCTTTTCTGCTTACATAGTGCTGAGGAATCAAACCCAGGGCCTCATGCATGCAAGGCAAGCACTCTACCACTGAGCCACCTTCCCAGGCCCTAAGTGTTATTCTTGAGGCTGCAGATCTTTGGGACAGGAGTCAACATGCAGGACACTGGTGCTCTACTGAAGACTCCAGATTCAACCTCTTAAAATGTAGCTTCTCTGTATCTCATGATAGAATTCCCCTATAATACTGGAACAGATGGAGGTGGGGAGACTGGTAAGGCCAGAGCAGCAAGTAGGGGTTCTAGAGGATTCCTTTTTATTTTGTTTTTTTGTGCCAGTCCTGTGGCTTGACTCATGGCGTGGGCACTGTCCCTGAGCTTTTTTGTTCAAGGCTAGCTCACAGACTTTCCTACTTTCCTGGCCTGGGCTGGCTTTGAGCTGAAGGTCCTAAGCTGCCCACTTCCCTAGTAAGTAGGATTGTAGTCCTGAGTCCTTAGCACTTTGTTGAGTAGGCCATAGGCAGCCAGGGGCAAACTGGGAGGAAAGGGGTTCCCAGAACTACGCCTTAGCTCAGATCGCCCTCTAGTGGATATTGAATTTTGACGATTTAGTTGTAGCTGTTCCCCACAGGTGTCCAGAGGTTGATGACCATGAACCTCAGGACTTGAGATGCTACGACTGATGTATAGATCAGTCAGATCAGAAGCAGCCAGATGCAGCCAGATGGTTCACACCTGTAATCCTAACCACTCAGAAGCTGAGATCTGAGGATCACAGTTCCAAGCCAGCCCGGACCAGAAAGTCTGTGAGATTTTTTTTTTTTTGGGTCCTGAACTCTGGGCCTGGGCACTGTCCCTCAGCTCTTCAGCTCAAGGCTAGCGCTCTACCACTTGAGCCACAGCGCCACTTGCGGATTTTTTCTTTTTGCTTATGTGGTGCTAAGGAATCGAACCCAGGGCTTCTGGCATGCAAGGTAAGTGCTCTACCACTGAGCCACCTTCCCAGCCCCTCAGCTCTTCAGCTCAAGGCTAGCGCTCTACCACTTGAGCCACAGCGCCATTTCCGGCTTTTTTCTTTTTACTTATGTGGTGCTGAGGAATCGAACCCAGGGCCTCAGGCATGCAAGGCAAGCGCTCTACCACTGAGCCAACTCCCAGCCCCCAAGATTTTTTTTTTTAATAATGAAAATACCATACAGAGGGGTTACAATTACATGGGCAAGATAATGAGTACATTTCTTTTTTTGTTTGTTTATTTTTGTTTTTTGGGGGTCTGGTTGTGGGCCTGAACTCTGAGCCTGGGCGCTGTCCCTCAGCTCTTCAGCTCAAGGTTAGCTCGCTAGCACTTGAGCCACTGGGCCACTTCTGGTTTTCGGAGTGGTTTAGTAGAGATAAGAGTCTCACTGACTTTCCTACGGGTCTGGCTTTGAACCGAGATCCTCAGATCTCAGCCTCTGGAGTAGTTAGGATTACTGGTGGGAGCCACTGGCTCTCAGCTTTGGTGACACTCTAATCTCCAATTAACCACCTGGAAACCAGAAGTAGCACTGTGGCTCAAAGCCCTAAGAGGCTAGCCTTGAGCAGAAAGAGCCTCAGGGCCAGTACCCAAACCCTGAATACAAGCCCCACAACCATTTTCAGTTTCAAGTGTTCCTTTGAAAATTGCCATGAGCACAGAATTGTGGCAATCTTCCACCTAACAATGTAAAACCACTTCAACCCTACCAATTGAGCAAAATAAATAAATAAATGTAATACAATACAACAGCAGAGCAAAATTTTTCCTCTGGTGGGAGGGTGGGCAGACTCAAGATGGAAAACTGCACTGGAGGGGAGGAGTATCTTAAGGGTTCAAATCTATATGGGGTCTGTGAACCCCATAGTCAGTTCTGAGACTTGTCATCCATTCTTCCCACAAGTTGATTGTGTGAGGTGTCTTGAACTTGATCTTGTCGCTGTTATTTTCTGTAGGCAGCCACCCCCCTTCCCCCCCCTCCACCGTGTGTGGCAAGCATTATGTAACTACACGGTAAGGTCAGTGGCTGGGAAGGGATTCCTTATCAACATCTTAGCTGGAGTCTCAGCTTTGGGTTTCCTAACTCCTGGCCACACCCCTACATGAAAGCCCTCTTCCCCACCCCCTACCCCTGCCAGCTTCCTGTGGCCAAAGCTAAAAATTCCTAAGATGTTAACATCTATGGACTCAACAGGCCCTCATCTCTGTACCAGGCACCTTCTGAGCACTTTGTGAATGTTAACCCATCTGTGTTATAAGCTGAAGCACAGAGAGGTGGAATAAGTTCAAAAAGACACACAGAGCCAGACGCTGGTGGCTCATGCCTGTAATCCAGCTACTCAGGAGGCTGAGATATGAGGATTGTGGTTTGAAGCCAGCTAGGGCAGGAAAGGCTGTCAGACTCTTCAATTAAGCACCAGAAAACCAGAAGTGGAACAGTGGAACTGTGGCTCAAAGTGGTAGAGGGCTAACCTAACCTTGAGCAAAAAAAAAAAAAAAGCTCTGGGACAGCAACCAGGCTCCTCATTCAAACCCCAGGATTAGCATATACACACACAAAAAGGGACTTGCTTAAAACCTCTTGGTTAGGACCCAAACTCAGATAGAGGAGAGGGAGAAAGACGGGCTAGAGAATGAAACATCACAGTAAGAGCTTCTCAGGGGAAAAGGAGACTGAGTCAGAGCACTTCAGGAGCCCAGGCATATGTCTCCAACTCATACTTACACTTCAAAGCCCCACGTCTCATGACCCCTCTTTGAAGTAGCTCTTTGTGTGTGTGTAGGGGGGGGGGAGTCATAGGGCCTGAACTCTGGGCCTGGGTACTGTCCCTGAGCTCTTCAGCTCAAGGCTGGAGCTCTACCACAGTGCCACTTCTGGCTTTTTCTGCTTCTGTGGTGCTGAAGAATTGAACCCAGGGCCTCATGCATGCAAGGCAAGCACTCTACCACTGAGCTACCTTCACAGCCCTGAAGTGGGCCTTTGAAGAGCCCTCTTTTCTCAGAGTTCCCTCAATTCAGAGAGTAGAATGGGGGATTCTGCCTTCCCAGAGCTGGGAAGAAACTAAACTCTCAGGAGCCATTTATTGAGGACATGGCAGGGAGTTTTTGGTAAAAACACAATTGAGGGAACAAATGAATGAGTTACTAAAGTGAATGTATTCTTGGCATTGGTTGATTAACTGATTGATTGTCAGTACAGGGGTTTGAACTTAGGGCTTCACGTTCTCACTTGGCTTTTTCACTCAAGGCTGGTGCTCTACCATGTGAACCACATTTCCACTTCTAGATTTGTTTTTTGCCAGTCCTGGGCTTGAATCCCTCAGGACCTGAACACTGTCCTTGAGCTTCCTTTGCTCAAGACTAGCGCTTTACCACTTGACAGTGCCATTTCTGGCTTTTTCTGTTTATGTGGTCCTGGGAAATTGAACCCAGGGCATCTCCTGACCTCACCACTCCCTCTGGTCAGCCCTAAATTCCCACACTGAGCCCTGTCCACAACCTTTCCGCAGGTATTTGGGCCTTTCGTTCTATCATTCTACTTGGGCCTGGCAAACTCCTACTTGTCCCCTGAAGCCCCAACTCTCAATAGCATCCCTCCTTTAAGAAGCCCCTGTCACCTTCCTCAGGCCTCAGATTTCCTAGGAAGGGACAACTGGGAGGTGCCTCCTAAGTGGCGGAGAGGGACCCTCCTTCATACCCCAAAAGGGTTCAGGGTCCCCACTGTGGTGCAGAAGAGTAAACTGAGGCCCAGAAAGCGTGGCAGAGCCCTGTAGGGGTTGGTTACCAGCAGGTAGAGAGGGGACAGGCGGGTTACTACTAGGTCTGAGGCAGTCCTGAGCCCCTGACCCTTCCTGCCTCAGTTTCCCAACGTTGCCAAAGAAGTCCTCTCCGGGCCCCGGGGCGCGGGAGGCGCCGCCGGGCGGGGGTCGGGGGCTCAGGAAGTTCTGCGGCCACAGGAATTTGTGAGCTTTCAGGCCTTATAAGGATATTTGCGCTCGGAGCCAATCAGCGTCGGGGGCGGCGCCCGGCCCCGCCCCCAGGCCCTCCGGGCCCCGCCCCGGCCCGCCCGGCCACGCCCCCGGCCCGCCCGGCCACGCCCCCGGCCCGCCGGCTCCCGCCGCGCCCCGTCCGCGCCGCGTCCCCGTCGCGGTCCCCGTCCCGCTCCCCGCACCGCCGCACCGCCGCGCGCCCCGGTCCCGTCCCCGCGCCGTCCCCGCAGCGCCGCAGCGCCAGCCATGAGCTCCACGCAGTTCAACAAGGGGCCGTCGTACGGACTCTCGGCCGAAGTCAAGAACCGGGTGAGTGGGCGCCCGACGCCCCGGCCCGGCCCCCGGGGCTCGGACGGGCGCCGCACCCCGGCCGGGCAGGGCGGCCTCGCTTCTACGCTGACACCTGCGGGGTCCAGGCGTTCAGGACAATCAGGGGGACCATGAGATGTGGGGAGAGGGACCCCCCATCTTCCCAGCATCCGGAGTCACCGGGATCCCATCACCGTCCGGGGCTCCTGGGCCTGGTGCCCCCTCCTCCACCCCGCCCCGCTCCCGGTCCCAGCCCCGGCCCCGGTCCCGGCCCCGGCCCCGGTCCCGGCCCCGGTCCCTTCGGATGCCCCGCACCTCCCCCACCCCAGGTTTCCAGGCCCAAGAATGTGCTGGGGAGCTGGGGCCCCCTCTCCCCATCACCTGGGCCACACTTCCGCTTTTGAGTCCACTCAAGTTCGGGGCGGGGGAGAGGCGGGGCTGGTGGCTTTTTGAGCTGGGTGTGCCCCCCCCACTTCTCCCGGGAATTTCCTGGGCTCTTACACCTGAGAGTGAGGGGAAGTGGGGGGGGGTTCCCCGGTTCAGATCCCTTCTATACACATTCAAAAAGATAGATGGCAAGGAAGTCCTCTCAACGTAGCCTGGACAGGTTTGAGGTGTGGCAGTTGGAAAGATCACACCAGAGATCTTCTGGTCTGGTTCAGAAAGGGCCGGACACTTCTGGAGGGTCACACAGCAAAGCATCTTGGAGAAGGTGTGGAAGAGAACTATGATTCCAGCTTGGAAGGTGTGGGGGGGTGGGAAGGGCAGGCCTACCAGCCTGAGGCCCTTCAGCTGGATGAGCAAGCACACACGCACACCCACTGGACACCTGGGAATGTGGCTTCACAGCTGCGGCAGGGTGGCGGGCCCAGGCACGCTTAAGGTACCTGGCCTGCAACCTCTTGGTCTCCACTGCAAACAGCAGAGAGAATTGCTGTGTGAGCTCTCACCAGCTTCCCCAAAGCTGCAAGTGGAGCTTTGGCTCCCCAGCATGAGTGAAAAAAGCTAAGGGACAGCACCCAGGTCCTGAGTTCAAGTCCCAGGAACCACAAACACATATACACACAGAGCTTGGTGGGTACTCTGGCTCAGAGAATCATACAGCTCAAAAGTGACCCAGCCAAACCTAGATGTCCCAGGTTGCCAAACCAGCACTCTGTGGTTTCTGGTGACTATAGGCAGTCTCTATATATATCAGGGACACAGACTAGTTGGGACACATCACCCTCTGGACAGATCCAGAGATCTCACTGTTAGACCCTTGGGCCTGGGTTTACTCCCTGGCCAGTTCTCTGGGAGCCTCTGTGCCATGTGGTCCTAGCTGAGGGTCCAGGCTGCTGGGAACAGCTGGTCCCGATTTACTAGGGAGGCATCCACATTCCTGGCAGTCTGTGGTGAAGGAGGAGGAATGTGCTCTGGGCTGTGGGCAGCTGAGGAGCTAGCAAGGGAGGGAGGGAGAGAGAGGGAGAGGCAGTGGGCGGGGCTTTTCCCCCCACAGTCCCCCGAGCCTTAGAGGGGCTTGGCCCAGCTGAGCCAGGAACGCCTGGCATCCTAGTCGGCCAGATTGCCTCATCTCATGCTCAGCATTGTGGGCTCCTGGGTGTGATACCCCCCCCCCTCCCTGCCTGCCCTGCCCGCCCTGCCCTTTCTCATTCCTCCTGACAAAGCCAGCCTGGCAGGGCTGCCTGGGAACCTGGACACTGACAGGGATCAGATTTGCTGGCTGTGGCTACCTGCCTTTGTCTCCCTTAATCCCACGTCCCTAATCTCACCTCAACAGCTTTGTAGGTGGGAACCCAAATGGGTTCCTGTCAGCAGAGGTTTCTGTAGCCAGTCTGGTGTGCACAGTAGCTCACATCTGTAATACTAACTACTCAGGAGGCTGAGATCTGAGGATCCTATTTCAAATATAGCCCAGGCAGGAAAGTCCCTGAGTTTATCTCCAGTGAACCATCAAACAACAACAACACAGAAGTAAGCTGTGGCTCAAATGGTAGAGTGCTAGCCTTGAGTGGAAAAACCTTAGGGACAGCATCCAGGCCCTGAGTTCAAGCCTTAGGATCAGTACAAGGTTTTTTAAAAAGAGCAGCTCTGTCCTTCTGTTCCCTGGGGGAGGATATGGGAGAGAGGGGCTGAGGAAAGAGGACATGATGTTTGCAGACCCACGGTGAGTCTGACAGTCCTGCTTGTCAAAAGCCTGCCATGGGCTTCTTCCTGCCTTCCTGGGAGCTGCCTTCAGAACACAGCCAGGCCTGTGCACCTGCCTGGGTTCCCCCAGCATCTGGCCCTGGCCAGTCCAGCTTTGGCTATGGGGATCAAGCAGCTGTGAGCTTGAGGAAAGTAGGCATGCATTTGGAGGGGCCTTGAACATGTCTTGCTTTGTGTGGTGTGTGTATGTGTGTATGGGGGGGGGGGGTCTCTGGGCCTTGAACTCAGGGACTGGACACTGTCTTTGAGCTTTTGTGCTCAAGGCTAGTGTTCTACCACTTGAGCCACAACTCCACTTCCAGCTTTTTTTGCTGGTTAATTGGAGATAAGAATTTCATGGATTTTCCTGCCCAGGCTGGTTTTGAATTATGATCCTCAGATCTCAGCCTCCTGAATAGATAAGATTCTAAGTGTGAGTGACTGGCTCCTGGCTTTTCTTTTCTTTCTGTTTTGATCAGAGACTGGGACTCGAACTCTACTTGATGCTTTCTCTCATTAGATAGCATCTAACAACTTAACCACACCTGCAACAAAATAGTTGGTTATTTCCTTTTTTTTTTTTTTTTTTGGGTCCTGTTGTGGGGCCTGAACTCTGGGCCTGGGTGCTGTCCCTCAGCTCTTCAGCTCAAGGCTAGCGCTCTACCACTTGAGCCACAGTGCCACTTCCAGCTTTTTTTTTTCTTTTTACTTATGTGGTGCTGAGGAATCGAACCCAGGGCCTCACGCATGCAAGGCAAGCACTCTACCACTGAGCCACCTTCCCAGCCCAGTTATTTCCTTTTCTTTCTTTATTTTTATTTATTTATTTTTTGTCAGTCATGGGGCCTGAACTCTGGGCCTGGGCGCTATCCCTCAGCTCTTCAGCTCAAGGCTAGCGCTCTACCACTTGAGCCACAGTGCCACTCCCAGCTTTTTCTACCTATGTGGTGCTGAGGAATCAAACCCAGGGCCTCATGCTTGTGAGGCAAGCACTCTACCACTATGCTACCTTCTCAGCCCTTTTTTTTTTTGTGCCAGTCCTGGGGCTTGAATTCAGGGCCAGGGGCTGTCCCTGAGGGGTCTTTTGCTCAAGACTCACTCTCTACTGCTTGAGCCACAGTGCCACTTCTGGCATTTTTTGCAATTTATTGGAGATAAGAGTCTCATGGAGTTTCCTATCTAGGCTGGTTTTGAACCACAATCCTCAGATCTGTTTTCTAAGTAGCTAGGATTACTGCATGTACCAGTGCCTGGCTTGACCTTGAGCCCTCCCTGAACTGACAGCAGATGTCATGGGGGAGTAGAACCATGAACAAGGACACCCACCACATAATGGCAGAGAAATTTCACAGCCAGGGTGTTTAGGGAAGGGAGGGATTAAGTCACATTGAAGTTGGTAGAGACAGTCTGTGCAAAAGCCCTGTGGCAGAAACCAGTATGGCCAGTTCCAGAAATGGAAGTTCAGTTCCTCAATAGAACAATAGAATCACCCCCTGACCTGCAGTTCCAGAAGTTGAATACAGATGGGCAAAGGAGACCTGCATACACCACCTGCATCTTAACATAACATTCATAACAGCAAACGGGAACAACCTAAGTATCCATGGGTGTGTAAATGGATGTCTAACATGGTCCACACACGGAAATGTCATGCAGCCATGAACAGGATGTGACTCAGCTATGGTGTGGAGGGACCTTAAGGACATGGTGCTCATTGAGAGAAGCAGACACAAAAGGCCCCATAGTATGTGGCTCCTTTGAGAGGAAACTTCCAGAACAGGTACATATAGAGACTGGAAGTGGACTTGGGGGCGGGGGAGGGGGTTTGCAGAGAGGCTAGGTGACTACTCATAGGAATAAACTTCTTAGCCGGGTGCCAGTGGCTCATTCCTGTAATCCTAGCTACTCAGGAGGCTGAGATCTGAGGACTGCAGTTCAACGTCAGCCTGGGCAAGAAAGTCCATGAGACTATCTCCAATAAACCACTAGAAAACCAGAAGTGGTGCTGTGGCTCAAGTGGTAGAGCGCTCACTATTCTTGAGCTGAAGAGTTGAGGGACAGTGCCCAGGCCCAGAGTTCAAGCCCCACAACCAACCAAAAAAAAAAAAAAAGAAGGAATGGACTTTCTTTGAGGTGATGGAATGTTCTGGAATGGATTGAAGTAGTGATTTCACAACATTGTGAATGTACTAAATGCCATTGCTGTCCCAACAGAATGCCACCGAGGTGACAAGATGTCACCTATGACATCCCAAGGTGGGGGGGGGGCGGGGTACGGACAGGGTCAGGTCCAGCCAGGCCTCACGCCGTCAGCCAGCCAGGCCTCACGCGTCAGCCAGCCAGGCCTCACGCCGTCAGAGCGGTCATTCTCCACTCCTCAGCCCTGTGCCTCTTGCTTCTCAGCTCCTGTCCAAATATGACCCCCAGAAGGAGGCTGAGCTCCGCAGCTGGATCGAAGGGCTCACGGGCCTCTCCATCGGCCCCGACTTCCAGAAGGGTCTGAAGGACGGGGTGATCTTGTGCACGTGAGTGCTAGCTCGCTCTCTTTCTCTCTCATCTGTCTCTTATTTTCTCCTTCGGTCCTTCCCTCCCTTTTTTTTTTGTCGGTCGTGGGGCCTGAACTCTGGGCCTGGGCGCTGTCCCTCAGCTCTTCAGCTCAAGGCTAGCACTCTACCACTTGAGCCACAGCGCCACTGCCAGCTTTTTCTGCTTATGCGGTGCTGAGGAATTGAACCCAGGGCCTCATGCATGCAAGGCAAGCACTACCACTGAGCCACTTTCCCAGCCTTTCTGCTTCCTTCCTTTCTACATTCCTTCTGTCCTTCTCTTTCATTTTCATTTTCTCCTTTTTGGCCTTTGTCTTCCTCTCTCTCCCTCCCCCACTCTCCTTCCTTCCTTCCTTCTGTCCTTCCTTCCTTCCATCTTTTCTTCCTTTTTTTCACCAGTCTCTACCACTTCCAGTTTTCTAGTGGTTAATTGGAGGCTGGCTTTAAATCATGATCCTCAGTTATCAGCCTCCTGAGTAGCTAAGATTAGGATTACAGGTGTGACCAAGCCACCAGTACCTGGCCCTGATGTCTTTCCTTGGAGCTACCAATCCCCCTTTCTCTTTCTCTCTCTCTCTCTCTCCCTCCCTCTCTTTCCCTCTCCCTTTCCTCTTTCTCTGTTTCTCTCTCTCCCCCCTCCCTCTCTCTTTCCCTCTCTCTCCCTGACACTGTGTCTACTTGGCACAAAGTATTTCACACTCCAGTGTGTTCACCACTTTTATGGATCACAGACACAATACAATTCAGCAGGCAGACCCCAATGCAGAAGTTTGTTTGCTTCTTACTTAATAGTATGACATCTTTTTTTTTTTTTTTAGTTCTTTCCTTTTTCTTGTCTTATTGCTTCGTCTAGGACGCCTAGCAATGTGCACCCTTCATTCTGCTTCTGTTTCATTGGAGAACTGACAATGCTTCCAGTGGTCTTTCCTTGTGCAGGCTATTAAGCTGTGATTCAGATATTCTATAGTCTTGCACATTAAAAAATGCTTGTGCGTCGGTGGCTCATGCCTGTAATTTTAGCTACTCAGGAGACTGAGATCTGGTTCAAAGCCAGGTCTTGCAGGAAAATCCATGAGACTCCTATCTCCACTAAACTAACAAGAAGTCAGAAGTGGAGCTGTGGCTCAAGTGGTAAAGTGCTAGTCTTGAGCAGAAAAGCTCAAGGACATTGCCCAGGTCCTGAGTTCAAGCCCCCGAGACGAGACCGGGACACAAAAAATATTGGTAGGGCTGGGAAGGTGGCTCAGTGATAGAGCACTTTCCTTGCATGCCTGAGGCCCTGGGTTTGATTCCTCAGCACCACATAAGCAAAAAGAAAAAAGCCAGAAGTGGCGCTGGGGCTCAAGTGGTAGAGAGCTAGCCTTGAGCTGAAGAGCCGAGGGACAGTGCCCAGGCCCAGAGTTCAGGCCCCACGACTGGACCCAAAAAAAAACAAAAAAAAAAAACTGGTACACAGAAGCTAGGCAAAGCAGGTTTCCCTGGGCAGGTATGAACTTGGCCGAGCTGGGAACCCTGGTCCCTGGGTTCTACGGACACTAATGGAGCTTTCTATCTTGCTCCACCCCCACCCTCCACCCCAGACTCATGAACAAGCTGCAGCCGGGCTCGGTCTCCAAGATCAACCGCTCCATGCAGAACTGGCACCAGGTGAGGGGCTGGCGGGTAGAGGACAGGACTGGGGACCCAGCGGGCAGTCCGGTAACTGAGATCCCCTCTCCGCCCTTCCCCTGCCTTCTCCCAGCTAGAAAACCTCTCCAACTTCATCAAGGCCATGGTCAACTACGGCATGAACCCTGTGGACCTGTTTGAGGCTAACGACTTGTTCGAGAGTGGGAACATGACACAGGTCCAGGTGTCGCTTCTCGCACTGGCAGGGAAGGTAAGGCCCAGAGAGGGAAAGCAGCCAGCCTGGAGACTCACAGTGAGGGAAATGTTGATGTGGTATAATCTCTCTCTCCCTCCCCCTCTTTTCTCTCTCTCTTTGTGCCAGTACTAAGGCTTGAGCTCAGAGCCTGGGCACATTTTTACTTAAGCTACAGCTCCACTTCCAGGTTTTTTTTGCTGGTTAATTTGAGATGAGACTCTTCCTGTCCTCATTGGCTTTGAACATGGCTCCTCAGATCTCAGCTTCCTGGGTTGAGGCTCTTCATTTTGTGTCAGTCCTAGGGCTTGAGCAAAGCCAGATATGAAGCTGTGGCTGAAAGGGTAGAGCACTAGCACAAAAGCTCAGGGACAGTGCGTAGGTCCTGAGTTCAAGCTCTAGGACCTGTGGCGCTGTACAGAGCTCAGGGACAGTGCCCAGGCCCAGAGCTCAAGCCCCATGACCAACAAAAAGAAAGAAAGAAATTTCTGGGTTGTGCAGTCTGGGAAGGATGAAGGGCCCTAGTTGCTCTACCTGGCTCTCTTTGCCCCTCTCACTCCCCTGTCCTCTCCCAGGCTAAGACAAAAGGGCTGCAGAGTGGCGTGGACATCGGGGTCAAGTACTCGGAGAAGCAGCAGCGGAACTTCGATGATGCCACCATGAAGGCCGGCCAGTGTGTCATTGGGCTGCAGGTGGGTGCCAAGCCCTGTACTTGGATCCCAGGGTTCTTATGTGATTCGTGTCCTGCTCAGCCCTGTGGGCCCCCCCTCCAGCTTCTGGGGAGAATCTGTGGGAGCCTGGAGGGGGAGCAGCTTGATCTCTTGCGCCTCCCTTCCCACAGATGGGCACCAACAAATGTGCCAGCCAGTCCGGTATGACAGCCTATGGCACCAGGCGGCATCTCTACGACCCCAAGAACCACATCCTGCCCCCCATGGACCACTCCACCATCAGCCTTCAGATGGGCACAAACAAGTGTGCCAGTCAGGTGGGCCCCCGACCCCCACCTCCCCAGTGTCCTGCTGCCACTGCTGTTTCTACTGTTCGGCATAGTGCTAACTCTCCAGTGGGACTTAGTTTCCACTCAGTTCTGATCGTTTCCTGTTCTCATGCTTTTTGCCAAGTTGAAGCTATATATCCCATTGATGATTTTCAAACCCTCAGATCCCTAGGTAGCTTTGGCCTCAGCCAGAGTAGCCTCCTGGCTGCCAAGGGAAAAGTAGAACATTGCTGATTTGTTGTTGTTATTGTTGTTCTTTGTTTTTTGTTTTTTTTTGTTTTTGTTTTGTTAGTACTGGGGCTTGAACTCAGGGCTTGGGCACTATCCCTTAGTCCCCCCACCCCCTCCCCCAAGTCTGGCAATCTACAACTTGAGCCAGAGCTGTACTTCTGGCTTTTTTTCTGGTTAATTGGAGAGAAGAGTTTCATGGGCTTTCCTGGACTAACATTCCTGGTTTTAAGTGATCATGATGGAATCAGACAGAGGAGCTATCTGTAACAAAGATCTACTTCTCAGCCAGGTGCCAGTGGCTCACACCTGTAATCCTAGCTACTCAGGAGGCTGAGATCTGAGGATTGTAGTTCAAAGCTGGCCCAGGCAAGAAAGTCTTTTTCTTTTTTTTGGTCGGTAGTGGGGCTTGAACTCTGGGCCTGGGCACTGTCCCTCAGCCCTTCAGCTCAAGGCAAGCACTCTACCACTTGAGCCACAGTGTCACTTCTGGTTTTCTGAGCAATGTATTGGAGATAAGAGGCTCTTATTTCCAATTAATCACTCAAAAAATCAGAAGTTGAGCTGTGGCTTTTAAGTGATAGCATGCTAACCTTCATCAAAAGAGCTCAGGAACAACACCCAGGCCCTAAGTTCAAGCCCCACTACCAACCAAAAAGGAAAAAAAAAAAAGATCCACTTTTCATAATTACAGAAGGGAGTCCAGCTTGGAATTACCCCTTGGGTGCCAAGCAGTGTGGGTTGGGATTGGCATGAGAACTGGGAACCTTTTTTTCCCCATCTGACACCTTCTCTTTCCTCTCCTCCAGGTGGGCATGACGGCTCCGGGGACCCGGCGACATATCTATGACACCAAGCTGGGGACAGACAAGTGTGACAACTCCTCCATGTCCCTGCAGATGGGTTACACACAGGGTGCCAATCAGAGTGGCCAGGTCTTTGGTCTGGGCCGCCAGATATATGATCCCAAGTATTGCCCGCAAGGCTCTGCGGCAGATGGCGCTCCACCTGGTGCCAATGACTACCCCAGGGAGGCCTCAGAATATGTGCCCTACTACCAGGAGGAGGCCGGCTACTGAAGCACCCCAGAATGCCAACTCCCCATTGCAGTACCCTGTCTGGGGCTTGGGGTTTTTATGGGTGTAGCTTTCCCTTTTCTCATTCTTTTTTAAACATTTAGTACCGCCCGTGGAGGGTCTGTGGGTGATTGGGGCTGCTTTGACCCATTCTGACAGGACTTCCTTTGCAGGACTGAGCCCTGGGTAGATGTGAGGGGTCCATGGGTGGGGCATGTTACCTGGCAGCAAATTTCCCAGAATGCTCTAAGACAGAGCCAGTTAGGGACCAGCCCTCAAATGACTTCCTGTTTCTTCCTCTCTTGATCAACTTCTCTTGATCAACTTGTGGTTTCTATTGGGCAGAAGTTTCAAAGTAGTTTTAAGGAAAGGAAACTGTGTGTGTGTGTGTGTGTGTGTGTGTGTGTGTGTGTGTGTGTGTGTGTGTGTGTGTGTGTGTGTGCGCGCACGCGCGCGTGTGTTGGTTTTGTTTTAGTTTTTCTGCCAATATTGAGGTTTGAACTCAAAGACTGGGTTCTGTCTCTGAATGTTTTCTGTTTAAGGCTAGCAGTCTACCACTTGAGTCACAGCTCTACTTTTGGCTATTTTATAGTTAATTGGAGATGAAAGAGTTTCGTAGGATTTCCTGGCTGGCTGGCTTTGAGCTAGGATCCTCAGATCTGAGCTTCCTGAGTAGCTAGGATTATAGGCGTGAGCCACAAGTGCCCAGTTTCTTTCTCCTTCCTTCCTCCCTTCCTTCCTCTCTCCCTCCCTCTCTCTCTCCCTCCCTTCCTTCCTTCCTTCCTTGCTTCCTTCCTTCCTTCCTTCCTTGCTTCCTTCCTTCCTTCCTTTTTCTTTCTTTCATAAGGTTAATAGAGAGGGAAGCTGGGTAGTTGACCCCCCTGGAAGTTGGGACGAAGTCCAAAATATCGTAGGCCTCTTAAGGACTGGGTTCCCCTAGGAATCTCCTATGGTCATCCCTGACCATTCCCAACAGCCTAGAGTTCTGAATGTTTCAAAGCATGCAGAGCCTCTCACAAGTGCCTCCTTGGGCCCCTCAGGTCTTCCTGTTCTGAGTCTAACCAGCTCCACTCTGCCCTTCTTGCTCAATCTGCTCCCCCCAACCCTTGGACTTTTCAGATAATGTGAAATACTGAGTGTGGACCAAAAGCAATAAAAACCTCCATTTTTTTAAATAAAAATTGTGTCTGAGACAGCAGGAATCCTAGACCATCCTGGTGATAGTGGCTGGGGGCCTGGGAGACCTTCCCAGCAACCTTGGGCAAGGGAAGTAAAACCCAAGGCCCTGAGGTCACGAGTGGAACCAATGACTTGAAAAGCCAAGACTTGAGTAGAGGAAGAGGCTGAGCTTCACTGGGATCTGTGGGTGCCAGTTCTGCCCATTCCTACAGCACTGCCTCCAGGCTATTCTCCAAGCCTGGAGATCTCTCCCAGTGCAACTATACATTCTCAGAGCTCCCATGCCCAAAGCCCACCCCTTACCTCCATAGAGCAGTGCCCTTCCCAGCTCTTCCCCTTCCCAGAGCCTTTGGAGCTTTGGATCGATCCACCTTCCCTTCATACCTATCATGAGCTTGTGGAAATACATCAATTTTCCACAGCAGGAAAGGTTTCCCCTCAAAATCAAGGTAACTGCCAGGTGTGATGGCTCACCCCTGTAATCCTAGCTACTCAAGAGGTTGAGAAGTGAGGATTGTAGTTCAAAGCCAGCCCAGACATGAAAACCTGGGAAACTTTATTAACCATCAAAAACCTGGAAGTGAAGATGTGGCTCAAGTGGTAGAGTACCATCCCGCTGAAAAGGTTTAGGAACAATGTCCAGGTCCTGAGATCAAGCCCCTGTACAGGTACCAAAAATTAAAATATCAACCTAGCTAGCTGGGTGCTGGTGGCTCATGCCTGCAATCCTAGTTACTCAGGAGGCTGAGATCTGAGAATCGCAGGGCGAAGCCAGCCCAGGTAGGAAAGTCCATGAGACTCATTTCCAATTAACCACCAGAAAACCAGAAGTAGCACTGTGGCTCAAGTGGTAGAGCTCTCACTTTGAGCTGAAGAGCTGAGGGGCAGCGCCCAGGCCCAGAGTTCAAGCCCCATGACTGCCCCCCCCCCAAAAAAAAAGAATCAGCCTAGCTACTCAGGAGGTTGAGCTCTAAGGATCCTGGTTCAAAGCCATCCTGAGTAGTAAAGTCCGAGATTCTTATCTCCAAGTAGCCAGCAGAAAACCAGAAGTGGAGCTATGGCTCAAAGTGCTAGAGCACTAGCTTTGAGCAAAAAAGATCAGGGACAACGCTCAGGCACTGAGTTCAAGCCCCACAACCAGCAGCAACAACACATAAGCCAGGTGCCAGTGGCTCATGCTCATAATCCTAAAATCTGAAGATCGTGGTTCAAAGGCAGCCCAGGCAGAGAAGTCCTTGAGACCCTTATCTCCAATAAACTTCAAAAAAGGCAAGAAGTGGTGCAGTGGCTCAGGAGGTAGAGCACCAGCCTTAAGCAAAAGGAGCTCAAGGAAAGCACCCAGGCCCTGAGTTCAAGCCCCAGGACTGACAAAAGAAAAATTGAAGTAACTGCTCTTCTGCCATCACCTGGGCCACTGCAGGACCCCACAAATTAAGGGCAGAGGAGAGTGCAATACTGATGACTTCGTACTAGCGTCCATTTTGCAGCTGGAGCCGCAAGCAGGCTGGAACCCCTGTCCCCAGGGAACACGGGACAGAAGGGTCTCCCACAACAGGACCTTGCAGTATTGCAGGCGGCTGGTCAGCGTGGGGAGACCGCTAGCCCTCCTCCCCGCAGTGCAATCCGCCGGGCGTGTCCTGAGGATGGTCTCCCTCGGGACAACTGGGCAAGCTGCCACCTCAAGGTGATGCAGCAGAAGGCCTGCTATCTCTTTAAGAAACCCGGCTCACCGCGCTGGGCTGTAGTCCCGCCTCCTTATCGGTCGCGAGGTGCCAAAGGCGCCGGTTTGTGAGTGACGGTTATAGCGGCCAATAGTCGCGGTCGGGGGCGGAGCGGAGCTAGGCGCGGCTGCCGGCACCGGGAGGAGAAGTGGGGTCAGCCGCAGAGGCGTCGCTCCTGGCTGGGGCTCTTCTTAAAGGGGCCGCGTGCCTGGCTGCCGTGGGACAGGAAGGTGGCCAGAGCCCCGGGGTGGGGGGGTCTGGAACGGTGAGATGGATCCAGAGAAGGAAGAAGCCTCAAGACTCGAGAACCGCGGGAATGGGAGTTTGGGGGATGTTAGGCGGCAGATTCCCTAGGAACTAGGGGTGCTGACTCTCATTGGTTCTTCTAGTCCTTCCTGTGAGTATTAGGGGGTCGGTTGACTGAAGCAGTTATTCTAGGAGGGGAGGGGGATGAAGCTCTGGTCACTTACAAGGGCCTTGGCCAGCATACGCCCGCAGAGCCTCTCGGCTAGCACAGCCCTGAGTCGCCTCTCATTTTACAAATGCGGGCGTTTCCCCCGGTCCTAAAAGATTTCTGGCCTTTAGGCGAGGTTCGTTGATCTTTGGCAACTTTCTGCTCCTCTGGGAGCCTCAATTTCCCCCCTTGTACACTAAATTAAGCTGGAGTTAGGGAGTCCCAAGAAACTGAGTCAGGAATTGCTGGTTCCAGCTGGGGCTTTGCCTCCTCCTTTGGTTCGTTGTCCCTTTCTGTTTTTTGTTTTTTTTTGTCTTTGTGTCAGTGCTGGGGCTTGAACTCAGGGCCTAGGTGCTGTCCATTCGTTTTCTTCCTCCCTACCCCACCCCCCAAAAGTTGGCGCTGTATCACTTGAGCCCCAGTTCCATTTTGGAGGTTAGGTGGAGATAAGAAATCTCACAGACTTTACTGCTCCACTTCGAGCTAGCTAGGATTACAGGCCTAACTCAAGTGGTTTATCCCTTCTTTTATGGTCGGTTGTGGGGCTTGAACTCTGGGCCTGGGCGCTGTCCCTCAGCCTTCAGCTCAAGGCGAGCACTCTACCACTTGAGCCACAGCGCCACTTCTGGTTTTCTGGTGGTTAAATGGAGATAAGAGTCTCATGGACTTTCCTGCCCGGGCTGGCTTTGAACCGCGATCCTCAGATCTCAGCCTCCTGAGTAGCTAGGATGACAGGCGTGAGCCACCGGCGCCCCGCGGTTTATCCCTCTTGAGCTTCAGTTTCCACTTGTGTAACACGAAGCGGCACTGTGGTTCTGCTGGCCTGGAGTAAGACACGTTCAGCACCGTACATATTCTTTGTTCTTGTCATTGTGGGACAGTCGGGCGAAGAGAATCCTTCCCGCATCAGACCAGAGGCTGTGGACAGAGATCGCATCGCCGGGAGGCTCTGGGTGGGCTTGGGTGGAGCACTAAGCCGAGGCTCCGCCCCCTAAGTACTAGAGGACCGGCTTCTAGAGCTCAGCCTAAGGAGGCCCTTCAGAGATCGACAGCCCTGACAACCAATCAGCTTCGTGGACGGCTGCGGGCGGGTTTTCCATTGGTTTACCCCATCTGAAGAATTTTCCCATCTCAAATGCTTAAGGAGCTTCCCTGAGCCCTGCGGGGTGGGGGCGGGGGTGGGGATGGGGGGGAGGGATGATGTTCAGAAAGAAGCAGGCAGTTCGAAGTCAGCGTGACTTCAGCCCGACCCTTGTCCTGACCCTTCTATCCTGTTCACCGTCCAGGGTCACCATGGCCTTCTGGACACAGCTAATGTTGCTGCTTTGGAAGAATTTCATGTATCGCAGGAGACAACCGGTAATGCCAGGGTGTTCAGGTTAGGGTGCAGGAGTGCCCCCACGACCACTGAGATCTCCTGCCTGTGTTCTCCCCAGATCCAACTCCTGGTGGAATTACTCTGGCCTCTCTTCCTCTTCTTCATCTTGGTGGCCGTCCGCCATTCCCACCCCCCACTGGAGCACCATGAATGTAAGCCCCCCCCCCCCCCCCCCCCAGGGATCAGGCACATGAGCCACAGCCGGTGCCTGACTCAGGCACTCACTTCGGCACTAGAGGTGTGCAGTCATTGGGAACCGATTGCCAACCTGGTATCTTTTCACAGGCCACTTCCCCAACAAGCCTCTGCCATCAGCGGGCACCCTGCCGTGGCTCCAAGGTCTTATTTGCAATGTGAACAACTCCTGCTTCTCCAGGCTGACCCCTGGAGAGAAGCCTGGACTCCATAGCAACTTCAAGGACTCCTTGTGAGTCACAGCAGTTGGGGCAGCCAGGCCAGTGGGATCTGGGCTTATGAGAGGTCCTGCCCCAGAGTCCCTACATCATGCCCTCTCTCTTGTATTCAGAATCTCTCGGCTTTTAGCTGATGCCCACACTGTGCTGGGGAGCCCCAATGCCCACAGGACACTGACTGCTCTGGGGAAGCTGATGCCATTGCTGAGGAGTGCTGGCAATAAAAGTGAGGGAGCTGGGAAACTCTTGAGCCTCAACTTGCCTGACTGTGAAATGGGTACAGGCAGGGGTTGTCACCCAAGGTTC